CCCCCCCCTCCCGCAGGTCCTGAGGAGTCAGTGTTTCTTTCCCGTGCAGCATGTGTGAGTATGTATCTGTGTGTGGTTTACAGCTGTTTACATAGCTCACAGTGGGTGATCTCTGTTCAACAAGACCAACCTCTGAGATTCAGGCATTTCGAAGGCCTATAAACTCTGGATGAAAGCTGAAGCCAAATTAATAAAGTTATAACAGGATAAAGATGTGGCAAGTTACACAACGCGACATTAAAACTGCCCTCTTAAATGACCGACCACTCCTGGTCATAAAACGCAGCATGAAGAAGAATACACTGTGTTTGTATACACCCTGTTCGCATTAAATCTTGTGCATGCGGGGCCTTTTCTTGGTTTGTCTTCATCCCCGCTGGATCATTTGTCCCTCATAATGAGACAATAAGTGAGTGTGGAAAGGCAAAATCAAACAAAGCTTTTACTTCATGTTGACTCCATGTGAACAACAATGGCGAGGTGTGTTACCTGGAACCGTTAAAATGCATTTTCACTGATGCTCTAGTTATTGGGTGCTATGGGTTTTATCCCACCTGGCTCTGCAGTACTTGTTGTTCTTTCTGACTTGTTAAACTCAGCCTTCGCATACAAGTTGGAAACCAATAAATGCTGGAAAAGAAAGTGAATGAATTCTTTTAAAGATCTAATCCTCTGTCATGCAAATATTTAAAATCTGAATATAGAGCATGATGAAGTATGTGTGTGGCCAAAGTTAGTGCATGTGTGGCATATCGGTATGCATCACTCATATTTTGGGCGAGGAAGCAAACAGCTTCAATAGTATCCTCTCTGTCCAGCAGGGCAAACTCAGGAGAATATCTAGAGCAGAAAAACGTGAAGGCGAGGCTGCTCTACACAAAGAGCTGAAGGAAAAGTGTATAACTTGTAAATGTGCATACTTCTCAGGATGACGTGGCAAACACAGCAGCTCCAGTATTTGCCCACTTGGGGGCGGCATATTGAAATGTTTTCACCTTTCATGAACACATTGTCACAAATAGTTACCCACTTGCACAACCTGCAGATACGCCTAGCACTTTTAAGGAGACAATGATTCAAACCTCGTCTCACATGCAGTTTTTTTCTTTATCCCTGAAAATGAAACGTCTCTGGTGGCTTAAAAAGAAATCACGAGAGCTGACGCAATGAATGAACACAGTATGGTGAGCAATTAAAACAATAAGCACTTTTGTTTGTCTGCCTTTAGCAGATGCTTGCTGTGCAATGCCGCAACAATTTGTTCTGGAGCCTCGTGTTTTTGCATGTTGCTTTGTTTTTCGAGCCAGAATTGGGATAAGAAAGCAGCAGAGCTGGGGAGCTTCTTGATTTCGTTTTACAACATGTCTTTTTAATTTACTGGGATATTACGTGAGATATGGTAAAAACAAAGCAAGAAACAGACTTTAAAAAATATGTATTTGTGAGAAAAAAGAGAAAAAAACTGAGCAAAATGAAACCAGCCCCTGGTCATTGTGCATCAAGCCTTAATGCACAAATGCGTATAAAGCCTCAAGTGGCCATGAAAGAAACTGCAGCTTTTCGCACACATGCCTTTCATAAAAGTGTCCATGAATACTTTGCTCAATAATGAAGTGAAACAAAATGTAAATGTGGCCAGAAATCTCTGCCAGTTTGCTCAAATTTGTGTCACATGCGTGTGAACATGAGATCAGTTTATCTGAGATTTATCTTGCTCAGTTTCCTGCTGTAAGTAAAGCAAACAACATTTTTGAGCACACACGAGGCCGCTCAAGCATGTCTGCAGTTTTTCAGTGACAGCTGTTTGATGCTGCCACCATTCATAATGTATGCGAGACCCACAAATCACTTCTTGCAAACATGTTTACGACATCTTACCCACCACATCCCGGCTCGTTCACTGCTGTGCACACATGAAAAAGTATAACAACACGTTTTCTCACTGTGTTTCTTGCACGCAGCTTTAGCTTGTGTATTTTATTTATGCGTTAATTATTGTGTCCTGCGTTGTGCCATTTTGTTGTTTTTGCCTGAAGTTGAACTTCTGATTGCTTTTGAATCTTTCTCTATCATTCATTTTGCTTTCATGATTTCAGAAACATTTTATTGCAGCATAATGGATCACAAAGGATGTTTCCTCTTTGCTGCATTAACTGAGGTCCATACATCTGATTCAAAGCATATCTTTGTGAATGGAGCTGTCGCACAGCGCGCTCACACTCATACACCGTCGGCGGTCCCCTGACATGAAACAAACTCCCTCACATCGTTATCCACCTCCCATTCATCCATCCTCACTCAAAGACCAGAAAAGGATTTATTTGTGTGATCAGAAGTCTGCTGCAAAATCTGGCAACCATATGCTCGGACATATAAGTCTTTTATGCCTTTCAACTTGGTCTTTTTATTCACACATGTCCATGATTCTGCTCTTGTTTCATATTCTCATTGTTTTGAAGTGAATCTCAGCATAGTGTGGTTGATGACTTTGTGCCACTCGGCGATCCTTTCTGCTCTGTGTCTAAATGTTCGAGGGGGATTATGGTTCAAAGGGGCTGAGCTGAGCTTGTACAGATGACTCTGGCCTGCAGTTTCCCTCATGTCTACAAGTTGTCAGTAACACAGGGATGTATTACAGATTAGTTCCACAGCTCTGCTCGTCGGCTCTTCTGGCATTAATCTTATGTCGGCCTTAAGTGGATCACTAATTGCTTCAAAGAGTTCGGAAAACAGACTCCTCTGAAACATGGGATTCAGACTCACAATAGGCACGCATGCCTCTACTAATATTGCTTTTTTTTCTGGGTGTATTAGGCTATGCTACAAATGAATGAACTGGACATCTTTTAGAAAATATTAGACTTAATGTATGATTTTGAGATTGCATTAAATATCAAGCATTCAGTTTTTTCCTGCCTGTAAACACAAACTGGACAAACTAGATTTTTCATGACATTAAACAGGAGCTGCAGTGTATCAGTATTGGCAAATAAAACATCATAGATCACAATAGGACTAAAAGCATCTGCTTTTAAAGCAGCACTGACCCTTCAGATTGTGGACACACCCAGATGTGTGAGACAGCCAGGTTAAATCTCAGAAGCAAGCCGTCCCAGCAGAACATTACGAGATGATTGTTGTCGTTTGCTTCACCTGCCAGTGGGTTTAACTGTGTGGCTGATGGGTGTAATGCTGAGGTTGTTCACAGACTGTATATAAAGGATTGATGTGAGTCTGAACTACCTTTCACCTGCATTTTTTGGAAGTCCAGAAAATGTTCCTTGGCTGAAAATGTTCCTTGTCTGCTTTGATCAACAATGTAGGCACACACGGGTCCC